TTAATAGCGCAGCTCCGTTTTCACCGAAGATCCGGAATAATTGATGTAAACAAATCACCACATCCAAATGGGCAGATGAATGTTGTTTATCGTAATAGTCCGACTCGCTCGGGAAAATCTGGTTCTTCGAGAAGTCGACCACCGACAACCGATTTGCATAGTAGTGGCATTAAACAAGACTCTGACAGTGAACGTGACAATGCCTCGCGCAACATAATCGGCAGAGCTCAAGATGCGGCATCAGGCAAGACTGATGCTAATCAAGTTTCGAAATCTCTAAAAAGTGACGCTGATAAGACGGTTGGTTGTCTATCAAGCACTAGTTTCGATAGAACGTCTGTAATAAATGATGAAAACAAATCACCAGCCGTGAATCGGCAGGAAAACATCACTGATCGTCAGAGTGCAGTCAGATTGGCAATAAGTGTTTCTTTCACCGATCAATCGCCTTCGAAGAAATTAGATAGTAAAGTTGCTAAACGGGACTATGATGGTGGATACCACAATGACGATACATCGAGCGACATGATTTTCAGAACTCTAGATCCAGAATCGTTCAAGACTGATACTTCAGTTTGGCATCTTGTAAAAGGCGATGCTGATGAGACCGTTGCTAGTGGATCAGATACTGGTTCTGGTAGAAGATCTGGAATACCTGATGGAAATAAATCGCCAATACTGGTTCGGCAAGAAAATATCATGAATCGTCAGACGCCAGTTCCATTAGAAAAAGCTGATTCTTTCCACGATCGATCGCCTTCGACGGAGTTGCCTAATACAGATTTTATTCAAGACTATGATACTGGACACCATGGTGACGCCATCTCGAGCGAGTTGGTTGATAGAGATGAAGATCCAGCATTGGAAAAAAGTGGTAGTCATAGTCCAGTTTCAAAACCTGTTAAAAGCGACGCTGATGAGACCGTTGTTAGTGGATCAAATGCTGGTTCTGGTAGAAGATCTGGAACACCTGATGGAAATAAATCGCCATTGCTAGTTCGGCAAGTAAACATCATGGATCGTCAGACGCCAGTTCCATTAGAAAAAGCTGATTCTTTCCACGATCAGTCGCCTTCGACGGAGTTACCTAATACAGATTTTAAACAAGACTATGATACCGGACACTATGTTAACGCCATCTCGAGCAAGTTGGTTGATAGAGATGAAGATCCAGCATCCGAAAAAAGTGGTAGTCATAGTCCAGTTTCAAATCCTGTAAAAGGCGATGCTGATGAGACCGTTGTTAGTGGATCAAATGCTGATTCTGGTAAAACATCTGGAATACCCCATGGGAATAAATCGCCATTGCTGGTTCGGCAAGTAAACATCATGGATCGTCAGACGCCAATTTCAGCAATAACTGATTCTTCCCACGATCAGTCGCCTTTGGCGGAGTTGTCTGATACAGATTTTATTCAAGACTATGATACTGGACACCATGGTGACGCTGTCTCGAGCGAGTTGGTTGACAGAGATGAAGATCCAGCATTGGAAAAAAGTCGTAGCCATAGTCCAGTTTCAAATCCTGTAAAAGGCGATGCTGATTGGACCGTTGTTAGTGGATCAGATACACGTTTTGGTAGAAGATATAGGATAGTTGATGGAAACAAATCACCACCATCGGATCGGCAAGGAAACGTCATGGATCATCAGACGCCAAGTGCATTAGAAAAAGCTGATTCTTTCCACGATCAATCGGCTTCGGTGGAGTTACATAATACAGATGTTAAACAAGACTATAATGTTAGACACCATGATGACGGATTGCAAGTTTCAAAATATAAAAAAAGCGAAGAGAATGAGTTCGATGTTGGTTCATTAGATATAGATGTTTTCGACATCACTCTGCTTGAAAAACGGCTAGATGTCATTGAGAATGAGTTTTATCGAAAACAAATGGATTTATGGGAACCGGCGTCCATTCAACAACTGACTAATTTGATTAAGAGCCTTTCTAGGGATAAACCGTCAGTCGATCATGCATGGATTATTTTCTATTGGATAGGAAACAACATTAAGTATGATGTCAAATCCTACATCAGTAACAATTATCCTAAACAATCGGCCGAAGCCGTTTTCAACTCGAGAAAAGGTGTTTGTGCTGGATACGGAAATTTGTATCAAAAACTAGCGGATAAAACGGGCCTAAGATGTGAAACTGTTACTGGTTATGCAAAAGAATACCCATTTGATTTGAGAAACGCAAAAAATGCGAACACTGATCATGTCTGGAATGTGGTTGAGATCGATAATTACTGGTATTTGATTGAAGCAACATGGGCCGCCGGCTATCTCGACGAGTCAAAACGTTTTAAGAAAAAATTCGATGCCTATTATTTTCTGCCACGACCAAATGAAATGATCTATCATCACTTACCTATGCAGGATAAATGGCAACTGTTAGATCGTCCAATTACTCGTGAAAATTTTTTGTCTCGCCCTAGAACGTATCCAGAATTTTTCGATTTAAGACTAAAAGTAGTCTACCCTGAACGACCTACATCGACTGTTTCATTAATTAATGGTAAATCATACACAAAAATAGTACTAAAAGTTCCGAATGCAGATGTGGAAGTTATTGCTCATTTGAAGCAAAATGGTAACGTCGTTGAAGGTGGTGATCGAGTAATACTTGATAATGATGTTTATCGATGTTTTTTCGCTCCACAATCGAGAGGTTTGCACAAGATCGTCATTTACGCCAAACGAAAAAGTGAAGAACGTTATTCGAGCGTGGTTGAATTTGATTTTGATGTATCTAAAAAGTTGGAAAAACCAATAAGCTATCCTAAAACGTGGGCATCCTATTTTCATTTTGGACTTGAAGTTATTAGTCCGAATGATATCTATTCAATTCGTTTGAAAGAGAGTGAGATTCAAACAGAAATACTAATCAGAGTTCCAGATGATATAGAGCTGACTGGTAGTTTAAAGGACCATGATGGTAAAAAGGTTCCCGGTGGTGATAACTGCTACTATGATAATCAGAAGCAGCTTTGGAGATGTCAATTTGCACCTTCAAAAAATGGAATACATGAAATTAAAATATTTGCCAGGAAAAAATTTGATAGTGGCACCTATTCATGTGCTTTAGCGTTCGAACTAATAGCCACACATCTGACAAAAACCATCTCTTTTCCGCGTAAGTGGCAATGCTTTTATGATTATCAAATGGAAATTGTTGTTCCTAAAAACAGTCACTCTGGCATATGGCCACTGCATGGCCCCTACTGTGAAATTTTGATGCGTGCACCAGATAATATTCATCTATTATCAACAATTCAGTATAAAAACAAAGAAATTGAAGATGGCAGCATAGTACAATACGATTCTGATAAAAAATTATTTCAATGCTTATTTGCTCCTCAGAATGTTGGACACCACAAATTAATGATCTATGCTATGCTAAATAATGATACAAAACAAAACTATTCTTCAGCTGTTGAATTTGCTTTGAATGTAACTGAATTGAAATGTCCTATTACATTTCCAAAGATTGATCCACAATTTCAAAGAGATAAATGCCGAATATTTGAACCGTTAAATGGTGTTCTTAAAAAAGATACAAATGTCTTCTTCCACTATCTGATACCAAATGCCGCCACTATCAGAGTAACTGCAGATGAGAAATGGAAGACGGTTGACAGCTATGAAAATAATATTTTGAAACATCAACTTAAACTAACCAACGAACAACAAGTGACAATTTACCGTCAACAAAAAAATGAAGAGAACTTCGATGAATTAGTGAGATATACTGTTAAATAAACAATTTATTTAACTTTCATAAAATGCTGCTTGCTTTTTCGAATATATGTCACTACGAACTCTATCTATGAGAGCAGACAATCTAGCTATGGTTATCTGAATTATTACCCGCTGAGTTTGACATTTTTTAGCTTATGGTTTATATATCTATTTTATTAGTTCTGAGTTAGCCAAACATGTAACGTACATTTTGAAGCCCATAGCGAATAACGTGATATCCATTCCATACCCTTGGTAATAGTTGACTTAAAAAATATAACAAAACCCAAACCGAAAAACGAACGGTTGTCTAGACTACGATAGTCCAGTAGATTATTGATTATTGACTGAAAACCAAAACGCTGTTAACTGGCTTCTCAGCGAGATAATTAATTTGTCAAGATTAACCCGGGTACTACCAACAGCGGTCCAAAATGACCCATGTAACTATTTTTTAAACAACTCAGCATCAAATAAAGATAGAGACTTGCGATTTTCACCACTCGATAGCCAAGAATCGATCTTCTCACAAGCAAAAACGAATTCCGAAAAATTTTTCGAAGCCGGTTATCCAGAAACTCCAGTTAATAGCTCAAAAGTTCTACATGGAAATCTATTGTTTTTTTTCATAGGTAGATAGTCCAAAGTGTGCTGTACAAGACCCAGTTTTTACCATTTTCCTTCTTTTGTTCTAAAAAGTAACATTGACACGAGATTCAGCTTGGTCGATAACCTATGTTTTCATACATCTCTGAAGATCCCAGACAGAAGAATAGAGAAGTCTCAGGGTTTCGAAGAAAACGCCTGTAGCTGCCAGATACAGCCAAGTGAAACTTTTGCTTAGATCCCATCTTGTACAGGACACCTAGGACTATGTACCTATGAATAAAAACAATAAATTTCCGTGTAAAATTTTTGAGCTATTAAGTGGTTTTCCGTAAAATCTCTAGAAAACCGGCTTCCAAAAATTTTTCCGAATTCGTTTTTGCTTGTGAAAAGATAGCCTCAAGTCTTGGCTATCGAGTGGTGAAAATCACAAGCCTCTATCTTTGCTGAGTTATTCAAAAAATGTGACTGAATGTCCTTCCAAGGGACATTCAGTCATAACGGCATGGAATATTGTATAAACGTACAAATAACATTTCAAGCTTACAATTGAAAATGGAACGTGCTCTATAGAGATGCTCTAGGAGAACAGACTGGAAATGTTTGAAGTGTAACATTCATTCAAGTCTTAGTTCAAGCAGGAATTGGTTTATACAATATCTAGCTCAAAAATAACGGAATACTATATTGAAATGAGCATTTCTTTTGCACAGAATGTGTTCTTTCTTTGCTATTTTTTAAACAACTATTAGAATACGTGTTGATCAGTACTTTATGGGATAACAGTAAAATAAATAGAATCATCTCGATGAAAGGAATTCGTTTAGCTTCAGCAAAGAAAACTCATGTTCTGTGATAAGCTGGCGTTCATTATAAGCCAAACCATTAGAGATGAATGGAACTTTAGTTATCTCTTTTGTCAACGTCGTCCAGATCGAGATACTCCGATTGATGATCAAAGATGATAAAGAACATGAACCTTAATCCAGATTTCCCGAGTGTTCATTCACCATATCTGAGACCTAGATCGAAGATAGAGATGTTGATAGATCGCAAGATCTTAGGTGAAACAATCGAACGAGACCACACTGAAATAATTTAAACAACATAAAGTACTGCAACGAATTCATTTCTAAGTGCTATGTAGTTACTTCCTATTGGCATTCAACAGATGAAAGGACCGGTGCCTGTTTTGCATTCAAAGAATTAATGTGCCCAGATCAGTTCGACTAGGTCGTAAAATTCTTTTAAGTGCGGACGAATGGTATGTGATGGGTTAGCGTTGATTATAAGTTCGCGCTTAGTAACTGAGAAATTACTGTTACCAAGTAAAACAGATGATTTTTGTTAGTTTGCTATTTTTGATTGAGACCTATTTTCTTGCGTTTATAAATGAATGTATTATTGTTTATCGATTGATAACACTAGTAAAATTCATGCCGTTAAGGCTGAATATCCATTTCAAGGGACATTCTGTAACTCTATATGGTAAAACACTAATCTTTTTAGCTATAGTACGAGCATACTGAGGGTCCGTAATCTGTATTTTTGTCATCAGTTTCCTCCCATAGTCAAAAAAATGCTTCTCGGCTTTTAAGAGTTATTTGACTTCTTTCACAACATCTCGATCTATATCAGGAGCGGAAGAAAAGAACAAAATAAGATACAGAAAGCATGCTGAAAATACCTGAACTCTGCATTGAAAATGTGGTGTTTAAGTTTGAAGGAAAAGTATTTTAACAAAAATTTTGTTACCGTTGGAGAATTCCTTATCTCCGCTTTTAGTCGATGTACCTCCTTATGAACTGTTGGAAAATAACTGGGATGTTTTCAGCTACTCATATAGATTTATGGGAAGATATGTACTAGTTATTCTAAATATTTTACAGTTGAGTAAACAACAAATTGAAACGTTAACTTAGTCGTAGACTTGAACCGAATCAAGCTAGCCTTATAATTTACGTACGAATTTGGTGAAAACGATAGTTGACCGTATCTAGAACAGAAGGGAAGTTAGCAGCAGATTTCTATAGTTTCGTCTAACGTTTTTTATTAAAGCTGTGCCATGTCTGGAAATAAGTGTACCAGATAGAACTCGAAAATCGCCTCGATATAAATGTTAGAATCGTACGTTTGATAGACTCTAGTTAAATCAGATATGAATGTAGATGCGGGTGCAATGCTTTTTATTTCTCAGCAAACGTGATCCGTGGCGGCTCAGAATTAGCGCAGCATCACGAAAATGGTACTGCATGTTTTATTGATTTTCAAAACACTATAATTTTTAATAAAGAAAATAACTGCAGTAGGAGAAAAAGCACTAGATACAATGTAGCCAATGTAGGTTATAATCGATGTAAACAAATAAGGCCACAATGGAAATCTCAGTCCAATCAAACTCGATCTAAATTTCAGCTTCGAGCAACTGATAAAAATACTGATCACGGTCAGTTGAGACTCAAACTTGATGAATGATCAACGATCGGCTAATCATTTGGTTGTTGGGTGAACATTTAATCGCGATCTTAGTAAAGTGCTGCGCTGATCGAGACTATTATGTGACATGATGATTAATTGCGATTTTGTTTGAATCGACATGACCTGTGACGGTCCGATCAGCCGGTTACCAAAACGATCAAGCCAAAAAAACCTCATGGATCCGTGTTTAGTCTTTTTTTCTCACTAAAATAGGCCGACGAAAGCGATACAGAAATTTTTTTGAATATTTCACTCTAGTCAACTCAGATTAAGTACATATGTGAAAATCTCTCAAGAGTCAACAAAAACCATTCATAGTTTTTTCTGTTGTTTTCTAAATACATATCTGGCATTTAGATTTCATTGTTTAGTTTCAGTAGTCGTCTTACTAATATCCTTAGTTACATTAACTGGAAAAAATGTTTTTCGTGATCTTAGTTCAATCCACTGTTTAATAGTGGATTTCTGTTGCGGGTTTATTTGTTTGCATCGATTATAATCTACATTAGCTATGGTGTGCACTGTCCCTGGCATTTTTCTTCTACTCCTATTCTAGACATGCAGTGAAATATTCAAGTAAAGTCATCCTCGTCAGTCGCTACTGGTCGACTGAGTATCGCATCGCAGTCGATGTTCAAACTCTGGATGAACCTTTGACTAGAAAAAAAATGTTTTTCTTTTTGGACATAGAGTACGTTTTAAATTTTTCCAATGTCGAACAAACATGAGCATCATTTTAGCGTTGCAGTGAGGTTCATTTTATGAAGAAAATGCATATTTCAAGCCCCGTGTGTTTTGTTTTCGTAAGTCTGGCTTTCTGGCTGAAGTTTCGCGAAGTTTTCATAACCAGAGAGTCTATTAGAAAACGTTTCAGTTGTCTGAACCTGGATTCTGGCAAAAGCTTTGCAATATCTTCTGTTCCAGATCAGATGAGTCAAAAATTTTGAAAACAAAAGAAAGGACGAAAGCGAAGGAAACAATATTTTGGAAAACTCCTTTCACCAATCGATAGAGCCCATTGAGTTCTATCTGGCACACCTTTAATAAAAAAACGTTAGGTGAAAATAAAAAAGTTTGAGTTTTCGTCTCGTTCAGAAAACCAGTATTCCGCATTTTAAACGCGAGCTCAACAGTATTTTGGAAAACTGATTCCACCGACCTATAGAGCTCATCGAGTTCTATCTGGCACACTTATTTCCAGAGATGGCACAGCTTTAGTAAAAAACGTTAGGCGAAACTATAGAAATCTGCTGCTAACCTTCCTTACGTGTATCTATACGTTTTCATCTATTTGCAAAAAAATGCTATATCAAACAAAAAAAGTATATATTATAAAATTCTCCTTTGTGTCTGTTGTGTTCTTCTTCTTCTAGTATTTTAGTTTATCTTTTAGCGCTGCACACATAGAATCTAAACTGAAGGTACCAGTTGATGAAAGTGTTTCACTAGAAAATAGTGAAAATACCCACAAAGGGCTGTTCTGCTGGGAAATAGGATTTCCACTGGTCTAGAAGGCCACCATACCGTTGTTTTAAAACTTTGTAAACGTGATATTCGTCACCGGGAGCCCGAATTGTATTAGTCATGTTACTCTCGAACAATTTGGACATGGT